GAAAAGGCACAATGACAAGGATAAAGACAATAATATCTGCTGCTTTATCAAAGACATTTATAAGTAATATTGTCTTTTAACTGGGCAATCTGGAATTTCCTGGTGGGTGGCAGTAAGGTGATCGGCCTTGGAGACACCTCACCATTCCCCAAAGAAAGGTGACCCTGTCTGAAACAATCCATTGTTTGCTAGAAACTTCCCACCTCACACCCTCTTCCTGTAAAAGCCTTCAATTTGTACAGACCCTCCGAGCCCCTCTCTTCGCCAGATATTTGACGCTGCTCAGTTCATGAATGGGTGAATAAAGCCAATTTCATCTTCAAACTTACTCAGCTGAATTTTGTTTTCTAACCCTACGAAGGCATGGCGGTGAAGCGTACAATGACTACTGGCTTGGTTTGGTGCCCCTACCTTGCCTGGGGCGAAGGGGCCAGCAGTCTGACCCCCACTGCTTCTGCTGATTCAGTATCAACACAGTGAACCGTAAATAACGTCTCGGTATCATCACAAAGGCAGTTTTGGCCTGTGGACACTCTGAAATGGCCTGGGGACCTTGAGGGCTCCACGAATCACCCTTGGAGCACTGCTGCCTTAGGACCACTAGACGCAGACTCTCTCAGGCCTTCCCCACACCCCACCCAGCGCCAACTTTCTCCCAAAAAACTCTCCGGGTCCTTGCTTAGTGTTTATGGAAATACTTAGGAGTTCTTTTTTTTATTATTTTACCTTAAAAGATTAGGAGAACACAACTCACCCTGTTTACAACTGCAAGTATTATAAGAGTGCAAAGAATAACAAATATTTACTCTTAAAACCTAACTGATGTTTTAAATACCTAGTACTACATTACCCTTCCAAAAGAAAAACTGAAGTAGTGAAGTCTAATAACAATCACACCCTGCTTTCCTGAGAAGGGCTCAACCATTTGCAATGCACCTGTTCTACAGAGAGCTCAACTCCAGCGGGGCTCAGGCTCTGCAGCCCTCCGCGACACTCACCTCTGAGGTTCCCCTGGCACGCGCTCTGCTGTTACATCAGAGCACTGGCTTCAGACCTTGGAAAATGCCCTTTTCGCCTCTGCTCTGTAAGTACTTGGGCGTGAGACTGAGAAACACCTGGGGCAGCTAAAGATTATAGCATACCTCTGCCTACGGCAGTCTTTCCCAAAAGCATCCATAATCACCACCACCCCCCACACCCCAAATCTCAGAGACGAGGATGAAGAGCCCTATTTTAACAAGCAACTTGGAAGTGACTCACAGTTCAGGCAGATTTGGGAAGCACTGCATAAAGCTGTTAAGGCATTCACAGGGCGCTCTCCCAGGGAAAACCAATGTGTCGGTTCAATCAACATAATCTGACTGCATTCAAACAACTTAAGCGTGTCCCGGCCTGGAATCTGACCAAGTTATCGTTTGGTGCCTCTGGGACTGTGCTTTCAGTGGCCGCACTTCGTCCATCCCATTAGTAAATTCCTCGGCCATTACCTTTTTTTTTTTTATTTTTTATAACTTCCCAGGGTTTTTAAATTTTTTACTATCAACAGTAATGTTTACTTTGTGTTTTATATCACTTGTCCCATTTTTTTACCTCATCTATGTATGGACTAATTATTGCTGATTGCATGTCCTGGATGCGGCCCACCAGCATCCCTCTGGGCAGCCCCCTCTCCTGGCCTCGGCAGAAGCCAGCTTCACTCCCCATCTGCACATCCTCTTCCCACAGCCCCACGTCCTGGTATCATGTGCATTTCGATGCCCTCCCACCCACTGAAACCAGAGGCCTCGAGAGACTGAGCTCTGCAACCCAAGCCTTCCTCACAAAAGCCTCCATTCACTTCCTCCTGCCTGTGCTCATCCAGTCCCTTCCCTCCACATGATGCCCTAGATAGATGAAGTTCTATACTGATATCCTTTTACTTTTTTCTTTTTTCAGCCAGTTTTCATAGCTTCCTTTGGGACAATGCGGTACGGTGAATAAAGGCATGGACTTCAAAATCCAAAGTAGACTAGGTTTGAATTTCAGCCCAGCTATAAGATCCTGGGTAAGCCACTTGAGTTTTCTGTCCTTCAGTTTCTTCATCAGTCAAAATGTAGACAACGCCTACTTACTAGGAATATTTAGCTCCTGGCATGTGAGTGCTCAGTAAATGGCAGTTAACTATATACAGTTCTGAATAAACAGTACTAGTTATAATGATTCCAACAAATAAAAGCGTAGCTGTAGTCACGTGAGTAATGTTAGTAGACTTGTCAATAACTCTGAAATGCTACACATGGTCCTCACTGCAGGCGGCCCACAGAACCAGAGTAGAAGACATGTTTTCATATCTCAGATATTCTAAAAGCTCAATGGCATAACGCAGCATACTACACAAGAAGAATTGTAATTTTCCCAATGCTTTTAGATTTTTCAGGTGGTAATGACCACTTTTAGTGAGTTGGGAAGAATTGGGCACTTTTATTTTTTTGCATTTAAACTTCCTGTAAAGTGAGGATAATAACAGTCAACATTTATTGAGGGTTACTCCACACCAGGCACTAGTCCAAGTGTTTCACAAATATTAGGTCACTTACTGCCTCAACATGTGTTGGGGTAGGCACGACTGCTCTCTCCATTCTACAGAAAACAGCAGCGGCCCTGGCTGGTGTGGCTCAGTGGACTGAGCACTGGCCTGCGAACCAAAGGGCCGCTAGTTCACTCCCCAGTCAGGGCATGTGCTTGGGTTGCAGGCTAGGACCCTGGTACGGGGCATGTGAGAGGCAACCACACACTGATGTTTCTCTCCCCCTTCTCCTCTGTCTAAAAAAAAAGTAAATTTAAATTTTTTTAAAAAATTTTTTAAAGATTTTTTTAATTTGCTTAAAATTGTGAAATCTCTAACTACCACAGTTGACAAAATCAAATTGCAGAATGAACAGTCTCTAGTGACAGAAAAGGGCTTTACTCTCAAATTCCCAATTCAGGGCAATGTCCTCCCAGAAGTCCAAGGGTGAAGGGAGAGATCCCTGCTGGGTAATCACCCTCAGAGGCAGGGGCAGGGGCGGGGGCAGGGGCAGACAGTCACAACTGAGGTTAACAGGTTTAAGAGACAGCTAAATAACATTCATTAGCAAGATTATTTTAATCATGAACATAAAATAATCTCATGTTAACCCTCAATGACTGAGTTTATTGAACACTAAGTTAAAGCAGTTAACATGACAGGAAACAATGATGACATTTGGTACATTATTTGGGGGGCGGTGTTTGAGACATAAGTAAGATGGTCCCTTTGAATAAATGTGGTTTCAATTAATTGGTTTCAGATCTGGATTATATGTATAATACACTGCTTTTACCATGCAAAAGGAAAAAAGAAAGACGTGAGCTTATGAGCTTATGAAAAAGAAAATGTTAGTATTTGGATTTGCATGAGACAGGGAGGGGGGAGCTGAATGACAGGAGAGAACACAACTGCCTTATACTCCACTGGTGAAAAGCAGGGTATAAATAAATACTGGGCAATAAAAACGGAACATGCAATAATTAAAGAACCCCAGCCTAGAAGAATTCCCTTAACATACAGTGTTTTTAGTGGGCTCTCCTCAACCTGGAGTTCCTTTCTCCTCTGTGATCTTATGAGGTTGGTACATTTACCTTTAGCCGTGATGCATCATTTTGAAGTTTGGCATGTGTCACTTAGAAACCCTTCCAAGCCTGCCCCTGGATCTTCAATATCACTGCCTGCTGCTGTGTACATTACAGGCCAGACTCTGTCATTAACTAGCTAGGCAACTCGGGGCCAGTCACCTGGCCCATCACACCTGCATTTCTCCAACTTGTAACCTGACAAGACCAAGCTTTTCCCTAAGAGCTCCTTCTGGCTTATTTTTCTTTCCACTTTAACAACTTATCATTTTATCACTTTACACAGCTGAGGAAGGAAACAGATTTTCACAGACACTAAAATGGAAAATTTTGTAAAACATTGTTTTATATATACACATATTTTAAAAATAATTTTCCTCTTATTCTTCAGGGGTGCAGTAATGTCAACAAACACAGTAATATCAAACTCTGAATCAGAGGAACTGGCAAAAGTTTAAGTTATGAGGTAAATGTCTCCATAATGATAGAAAATTAGATAAATTTCACATTCATCTCATCACATGATCTGGCTAATTCCCAAAAACTCTGGGTAGGAGAGTGAAAAGATTTTCTTTGAGATACCACCCTGTAGAGGCAGAAATAACAACTCCCCTGCTCTGTTTCACAGGTAAGGAGGTGCACCACGCTCTTCATCACGAGCATTTGGATGGCAAGGTGGAGAGACTCCAGTTACAGTGAGGCCAAGACGGGGCAAAAGCAGAGAGTCGTAATGTCAAAACCCCATAAACCCAGAAGCTGCCACACTGGGGACCCTTCCTGCTGGGGCCCCGTCCTATGCACCTCTTCATCTAGCTGTTCTTTGTATCCTTTATAATAAATACCCTTTATAATAAACCAAGAATAGTAAGTAAGAAAAAAAATTGATTCCTTGAGTTCTGTGAGCCATTCAAGCGAATCATCAGGAGGGAGGAGGGGTCGTGAGAACCCTCAACTCAGGGCCAGTGGGTCAGAAGTACCCAGACTGGCAATGGGCATCTGAAGTGGGAGGCAGCCTCGTGGGACTGAGCTCTCAGCCAGGAGGTCTGGACTGACCCCAGGGTCAGAAGTGAGTTAACCTGTGGGACGCCCCCAGCTGACGCACACAGGGAAGCAGGCCGTTCCTCGGTGTGGGAGACCCGCACAGGTGGCATGCCGAGTGCTGGGATGAACACTGCGGACTCGGAGCTGCCACGGAGGGCTGTGCTTGGAAGCCACGCAGTCAGGTTTTAAAACCTACACTCTAAACAACAACAGTGTGTTCGAGCACGATGAAAGCCATCCCAGCCTTTCAGATTTGTAACGTGCATGCCTGTCTATGGACAGCAGTGAAGAGTCGGAAGAGGAACAGAACTCGCCACGTGAACCCCTACCTGCGTCTGCCGCATCGCCCGCTCCACTCGGCGCGTGCTCCCTCGCTCCAGCTTTGTCCGCAGGACCAGTGCCGACGTCTGAATGGCCCAGAACTTTGGTTGTGAAAGCAAACACTGATGGAAGAGAAAAAATAAATATAATAAAGACCACAGAAGGAGAGAGAAGATGGTGGACTCCTCTCTGAATAGAACAAAATTAATTCTTCCAAAAATATCAGATTCGGCTGAATGCAGATTTCAGAATCTCAGTGAAAAATAATAAAACATGTTCTTTCAAACATTCTTGGGAAGAATGCGGCCATCGGAGCAGAGTCATTATTTAACCTAGCTGATTCATCCTATTGACTAAATCTCTTGAAGAATGAGTCAGAATCTTTCTGGATAATCGAAACAGTAAGCAGAGTATATGCCATACATTAGTGAATCTATACCATAGGTTTATACCATACTGTAAACTAATAAATCTTTTTATCCCACAGATTACAGTATATGTGAGAAAATAAACTGCATAAAAGTGTGGATGGGGCACAGGGCAGTAAAGGGCAAGGGGGTCAAACACACGGTGACAACGATCTGACGCTGGGTGGTGAGCACACAGGGCCACGTACGGATGACGCGTCACAGAACTGTGCACTCACGCCTGTACAATCTTATTAGCCAATGTCACCCCGATAAATTTAATTTAAAATAGATTTAATTAGGGCCCTAAAGGAAAATAAAAATAAATGCTATTTTTCTCAAATTTGAAGTAAATTTTTAAAAATCACCCAAATTTACAACGGAAAACAGTTAGAAATCGGGTAACACACATACAGAGTAGGTGGTTCCACCTGCACGCTCCTCGCCCTGCAGCAAATGGTTCCGTCCTGCCTGAAGGACGCTAGATGTCCCCACCTGTCTCCACCTTTCAGGGCTGTGACTGGAAAGGAGAACCCAGCCAGCAAGCCCACGCTGGTGCAGGGCGTTCAGGGAGACAGAGGCTGGACTTCCCTGCACTACCAGTTCGTGGCTGACAGCAAAGATAAAGAACCCGAAGCTGTCTTCATAGGGGAATCCTTGGTCCAGCTAATGCACCAGTGTGAGGTCTGGTGGGAGCTCCTCTCTCCTCTGCACAAACTTAACTTTGCCCTTGGTGGTGCTGGCCCGCAGCACGTGCTGTGGCAGCTGGAGAGTGGGGAGGTGGAACACAGAGAGACTGCAGTGGTCTGGGTGGGGACAAACAACCACAGGCACACAGCAGAGCAGGTGGCTGTCGGCACCAAGGCCACCGTGCAACCGGTGAACCGGCAGCAGACCCAGACCAAGGTCACAGTGCCGGGCCTGCTTCCCAGGGGCCAGCAACCTAATCTACTTCATGAGAAAAACCCACGGGTGAATGAGCTGGTTGGTAGAGGTGGGCTGGCTGGCCACGGACCCGCTTCCTGAACACTGACCCTGGCTTTGTGCACTGAGATGGTACCATAAGCCACCAGGACACGCAGGAGTACCTGCACTTGAGCCAGCTGGCTACACACTCGTCAGCCGGGCCCTGCACTACCTGCTTCTGAGCTTGCGGGTGCAAGACCAGGGTCAGGATGTCCCCTGCCAGAGCCCACACTCTCAGCACCCACTTTCCTGCAACATTAAATTATTCTTCTTCAGTGAAAGAAAAGAGCTAGGGAGGGAAGGAGGAAGAAAGAAATCTGGTACCTTTTCATTTAATATCCTAATTCATAGATGCACATTGAATTTAAACTTTAAGTACACAGAATGTCCAAGAAATTTAGAAAAACTGGTCTTGAATATGTACATACAGAATCCTAATACCAGAGAAAACTGATCACCATCCGTTCAGAGAATGCAACACAAACCACCAACTATGACCGCAAACACAGCGGAGGGAAATGACGGTTCTTGGTGAGGGAGGAAACAGGGCAAAAAGTATCCTGACCCAAGGGGGCTGCACAGTGTAATGAACATAATTTAAGCTCTTTGCCACTTCGCTGGAATCCAGTACTGTCTCTGAGTGATCATTCTTAACAGTAACTTTCAGGCAAGAACACTGGGAAGAAAGGGAAAGGGAAAACAAACTTGTCTGAAAATTGACTAGAGGATTCCCTCGTTTCATTGTGCTTCATAAATGTTGCTTTAAAAAAATATTGAAGGCAAGATCCTCCACCAGCAAAAAGATTACAACTCATTATATTGCAGAAGTCTGGAATTGAACCCATGATATCTCTGAGATGCGTCTGTATTTGAACTTTCTTTTTTTTTATTGTATTTTTCCTACTACCCTTTAGCCCCTTTATACCATCCTCCCCACCCCCTACAATCACACTGCTCTCCATGTCCATGAGTCCGTTTTCCTTTTTGCTCAATCCCTCCATGCCCTCCCCTCCCCATCCTTAGCTGTCATCCTGCTCTGTATGAGTCTGTCTCTGTTTTGCTTGTTAGTTCAGTTTGTTCTTTAGATTCCACATATAAGTGAGATCATATGGTATTTGTCTTTCTCTGACTGGCTTATTTCTCTTAGCATAGTAGTCTCCAGTTCCATCTATGATGTTGCAAAGTGTAAAACTTTCTCTTTTTTATGGCTGAGTAGTATTTTATTGTGTAAACACCCCATAGTTGTTCTGCCCACTCATCTACTATGGACACTAGAGATGCTCCCATATATCGGCAATTGGAAGCAGCGCTGCAATGAACATAGGGGTGCTTGTGTTCTTTTAAATTAGTCTTTCGGGTTCCTTCAGATATATTCCCAGGAGAGGGATTCCTGGGGTCAAAGGGCAGATCCATTTTTAATTTTTTGAGGTATCTCCAAACTGCTTTCCACAGTGGCTGTACCAACCTGTATTCCCACCAACAGTGCAAAAGGATTCCCCTTTCTCCATATCCTTGCCAGCACTTGTTGTATTTGAATTTTCAACTCTGAATCTAGGCCAATGCCCTTACAATGAAAAGGAAAATGAAATGTCAACAGGTTAAATCTCTTATTGAAGGTCACACCCTCACTGGTAGCCAAAGCTAACTCTAACACTTGGTCTCCTGATCCCCAGAACATGTTTATACTGCTTTTCAGCACTTTCTCAAAATGACCTGTGCTCATTTAAATTGTGAGGATACGATTACCTCCAGGAAGTGGGTGACAGCACCCAAAACACTGGAGGAGTGAGTAAGAAGAGGACTCAGTGAATAACGTCAGGAGACTGCTGTGGTAAAGAGAGAGTGGAAGAAGAGGAGTAGGCAAAGAATACACAAGGGGGCTTCCAAAGAACGGGGTCTCACTGAGGCGTGCGTGCTCACGATGCCCTGGCGCACCTACTCAGCACAAGGCAGTGTGCGCGGAGCCCAAGGTCAGGGCAGCAGGCTCGACAGACAAGCCCCAGCCCTGCCAGAGACTGCACTTGAATGCAGTGTCTAGCAGGTAGTCTTATTTTCCTGGAACTAACTCTGTGAACTAAAATATTTTAACTTCCTTGAAATATAGTTTATAAAATTAACACATAACCTTATCTTGTTAGCCTTTATTATTTAAATCTATAAATACAGTGAATTTACCAACACAAAAGGTATATATGGCGCTATAAATACCTACAAAATAAAACAGAAGACAATAAAAAACTAATTCTTTAAAATGTGTATCACTACTTGGCCCAAGATTTTATTATAAAATATGATCCCAAGAACTTTCAAAAGAAAGAACTTGCTTCATTAAGTAAATCTGCAAACGGATTCTGCTACCTACAGTGGATGGTATGGGTATTGCTGCCGTTTTCCTCTTCCCTCTTCCCTCATTAAAGGGACATCTGTCACTTCCTGGCACCAGGACAAAGAGCACTCAGGACAGGGCTCCGCAGAACAATGGGGAAGTCTCCACACCGGGCAGGGTAGCACTTGATTGGAATCCCAGCTCCACCGAGTGAGGTGATTAGCTGTGACCTCCCTGGGTCTCACGTTCCTCCTTGGTAAACAGGAACAGCCATTCGCATCTCTCACGGAGCTGTGAGGCTTAAAGATGAATTTGTGAAGCTTCTCAAAGCCTCCCAGGGTGCCCACATAAAGCACAGGGGCCCCCTCCCAGGTCTCTCCTCCTATAATGCCTTCTCTCACCCTTCAAGGGAAATCGCCATCCAGAGTGGGTGCGGGTGACGGCGCTGAAGTCCGATGGGGGTTCAGGACACGGCACTCCCAAAATCTGGCAGCCTGGCATCTTGAATGCTTTATGCTGAAGGAGCTTTAGGAAGCAGGAGCAGGAGGGTCACTCTGACCCCGCCCCTCGCCTTCTCAGCTAAAAAAGGTCAGAAAACGCAAACACTCCTGGGGAGGTGCCCTCTCTCTAACCTGAGGAAAGGTGTGTCCTTATCTCCGAAGACACACCCACACGAAGAAGAATGCCAACAGCGGGTCTCACTAACATTCCCCCAGTCGCTACACTTCCCTCCTTCTCTCCTGGGACGGCCCACTCTTCATCAAACCTCATGGAAAAGTGTTCAGGGCTAATTAGCTGTTTCCTCAGGTCTTCATTTCCTTACGCAGGCTCCCATGTATGCAAAATCAATATTAAATAAATGGGTGTGCTTTTTCTCCCGTTAATCTTTGTCAGTTTAAAGTTCAGACTCAGCCAGGGACCCTGCAAGGATGAAAGAAAACTTTTCCTCTCCTCCAGCTGCCAACTGCACTGATCACTTTACCAAAAAAGTTGCTGTCAACATAAGAAACATTCAAACCTGTAAAGAATTTTGTGAATTTATTTGAGCCAAATTGACAACTGCTGGAAAGCAAAATTGAGAAAATGCCCCAGAAAATGGCAGTTTTGCACCTTCCTTTATACATTATAATCAAAAGAGAAGATGGAAGGGGGTTACATGAAATGCACTGGTGACAGATTAGGAAGGCAGTAGAAAAAAACAGACGGGGCAGGAGGGAACCTCTGGGATTGCATAAAAAAGTGATAGACATACCTCTTTCACTAGGTGGGTACAGGACAGTTAACAGTCAAAAATCAACACGATAACAATAACGATGCAGGGATCTGCAGTCTCCCTCTGCCGCTGTGCCCGTGCTTGAGGGGTGGAGTGGGGGGTGGGGGCAGGAAATAACTCTGACCTTCCACAGGTGTGTTACAGTGGATG